TTTTCTCTTGTTTTCTTGGTTAGGTTTTCTCAAGGCGGGAGGTCTTTGTCAAGTTGAATCAATTTTTTTTTTCATAGTAACATGAATGAAATTTATTAACCGGAAAATAAATACAGTACTAGAGTTTTTGTTCCATGTTCTTGCCCTCAGCAATCTTCGACACGAGCTTGGCTTTCACCACAACTAGCTGACTCGGGGGAAGAACACCCTTACCCAAAACCTTAAAGTACCCAAACTCAGTCACATCAATCACGGGAGCTGATTCCTTGCTTTTCTCAACCTGGGCCTTCGCTTTAGGAGGGACGTGTGACTAGATTTTGTCGATGTTGATAGTGGGACAGAAGAACTTGTTGCTGAGCTTGTGAAAGTACCTCATGCCGACTTTACCAAAGTAGCCGGGATGGTACTTGTCGAAGAGAATACAGTGGTGACGCATTCCTCCAGCGTTACCCCGACCTTCGGGATGCTTTCGGTGTTTTCCGATACGGCCGTGATCGGCACTCACGTGGCCGTGCTTCTTCCGGCGCTTCTTCAATGAGGTCGTCATTTTCTTCGGGGTGGGAGCAGCAGTGTGCAGGTGGGAGGATTTGAAGGAGTTGGACCAGGTTGTAGATTGGGTACGATGGTTTGAGTGATGGATATTGGCCAGAGAATAATGGGCTGTTTGTTTTGGTTGCATATTTGGGTTTTATTCTAGTTGGGCTGCATTATTTGGATTGATTTATGAGGAAATTACACCCAGCCCTACTTTTAAGTTACCATTTTCAAAAATCATGAATCAAGTTTCATTTTGCAAAAATCAGGTTTTAATTAATAATTTAAAATCTTTTTTTTTTTATAATAATCAAACCCTAAAACTAATTCAAATCACTCTCTCACCGTCTCTCCATCTTCTCCCCCACAAGGCGATTCCGTCGCCTCCACCGCCAACCAAATTCAGCCGCACCGTCCGTCCCCTACTCCCAAACTCAGCCGCACCGTCCGTCTGACTGTCAAACCATGAAGGCGAAGGTGTCGCTGTTTCTCCCCACACGACGATTCCGTCGCCTCCACCCCCGTCCCAGCCACTGCCACTATTCGTTCCCTACTCCCAAACCTCAGCTGCACCGTCCGTCTCACTGTCAAACCACGAAGGTGAAGGTGTTGCTGTTGTTTTGGTGAATGTGAAGCAGTGGCAACGATGGTGCCCAGATCTGTTCTCTGTACATGGCCTTTCATTCATTCTTTTATTTTTTAATATTTTGGCCGATTTCTGAAAATACTGGATGTTGTGGAGGTTGCAGATCTGTTGGTTTTGCGGTTGGGTGCTTGTGGGTGTAGCGGTTGGGTGTCGGTGCGTGAGGCGACGGCCGTTGTTGGAGTGGTGTTGAGATCGTGGTTTTTCTTGTTGTTGGAGTGGTGTTGAGAAACGGTCATGTTGGTGTTGGTGGCATCGTCGTCGCTGTCGGCTTGGTGATGGATGCAGTTTTGGGGGTGGTGATAGTGGCGGGGGAGGGTGTGGTGGTGAAGATGCGACGACGATGGTGGTGCTGTTGCTCGAGGCAGTGGCGAAGTGTTGGTCACAAATGATTTGGTGATGGTCACAAATGATTTGATTTTTTGTGACCAATAAACAATAGGTGACCTATGAATCAGTTAAATTGTGACCAGTACAAGCTGTGTGACCTAAAAATTATTAATTTGTGACCTAAATAAGTATTGTGACTTCTAAATTTTGTGATCTGTGATTGATGAACAAATTGTGACTTTTAAAATTTTGAATTGTGACCAATAAACAAATTGTGACCTATGAAAATTTTGAATTGTGACCTAAAAATTTTCGTCAGAATCGGAATCGTCGCCAGAATTGGAGCAGTGGCCGGAACAAAGTGGCTGCGGAACTTGAAATTGTCATCGAAATCGGAGCAGTCGTCGGAGATGAGTTGTGACCGGAACGGTAGTCGGAATAGTCCCCGGAGCAGTAGGGGTGGTGGAGGTGGGGTGGGGTAATTATATTATA